TCCACTAGCATTAGGGTTCGGGGCAGTCTGGGGTTTTGGGCCCCCGCTTGGCTCGAGGCGCCTCATGCAGCAGCAGCTTGAGCGAGCAGATGACAGCGGAACAGACATTTGTGACACAGACGTTTGCCCACGAGTTTACCTTTCACCTTGGTGGATATGCCTGTGCCAACGTCTACTTTGACATGACAGACTCCAGATGCCAGCAGCTCTGCTCCTCGGCGGCATTCGCTTGCGAATGACCCTCGCCAAATTACATAGCGATCACTCTTATTGGCATTATCATCTTCGTTATCACTATCATTCCATTATCATCGTTGTTATCACTGTCATTGTCATTATCCGTATCATTATCATCAGGTTACCCTTGTCACTATAGTTATCGTGACCATTATCTTTGTAATTACCACTATCCGTCTCAATACTGTTTCTGTTGTTACGACTAGCATTATCAGTTTAATTGTTGTTGTTCTTCATTCCGAGCCGTACTGGTGTGAGCATTTGAGCATTATTGCTGTGTTCATTTTCGTCCGCTCTCAATACTGTTATTACAGGTGTTATAGTGTTTACCATGTACTTGGCTATTCAGTTTTATACTTGATTTACTATCAGTGTAGAGGTTGTTGTTGTTGTTGTTGTTGTTGTTGTTGTTGTTGTTGTTGTTGTTGTTGTTGTTGTTGTTGTTGGGCCTCATGAGTAGAAATCACATTGCCCCAGCAATCCTGAATCTACCACCAATAGTTGCGCTTGCAATCACACGTGATAATTCACTGGTGGCAAGAAGGGTTTCATTCAATCAACATATATACACCTTTGAGTCTCCAAAGGGTTCTACACATGGACAATTCTTGAACATGTTTTTGGTGACGGCGCCTGTACGCGCCTATGTGTTTTTACACATTTCAGGGTATTGGGGGGAGGGGGGGGAGGGGGGGGCTAATAACGTTCTCTTCTACTCTAGCCTGTTCCACTCGTGCTAGGTCTACTAGTGCTGCTGCCTGCTGCCCTGTAGGCATGTCTAGGGTGTTGGACTCGTGCTAGGTGTACTACTGCTGCTGCCTGCTGCCCTGTAGGACACATGTCAGGGTATTGGGGGGGAGGGGGGGGCTGCTAGCGTCCTCTTCTACTGTAAGCTGTTCCACTCGTGCTAGGTCTACTACTGCTGCTGCCTGCTGCCCTGTAGGCTTCTCTAGGGTGTTGGACTCGTGCTACGTCTACTACTGCTGCTGCCTGCTGCCCTGTAGGCATCTCTGGGGTGTTGGACTCTTCCTAGGTCTAGGCTCCATTACCGTCGTTAGCCGCACTCTGCTCCTTCGTTCTTGCTTCATTTTTTGATTACGTCCAGAGAGGCGACAGGCTCGAGGCCTCAGGATGCGCTCCATAGAGGAGACCTCGGTGCGATGGAGGGTAACGTCCAGCCTTGCCCTAGTTCTCTTGCTGCGGCTTGCTGGGTGCAGAGCTCTCCATGGGCTTGAGAGCTGGTGGGGCATGGACTTCCAGGTTCTCGACGAGATGCACTTTGTCTTCGCCTTACCGTCAGAGGACGTTGCGGCACAGGCAACACGTGCGGCTTTCTGGCGAGAGGGTTCCTTGTTCTGGATGTCTTTGCTAGCTGCTTGGCGAACTCTGTTGGAGACGTGGCACGCGCACCGGGCCCAAGGATGTCTGAGCGGGGTTGTTCTTGGCGCGTGGTGGACCTTCTCGCGCAGGGCGCTGGCCGGCTTCCGATGCGCCCCGCTGGAAAGCATCATGCAGGGTCTGAGGGCTTCCGCAGAGGATTGGCGTCGCACGCCCTCTACGCAGATGAGCGGCGAAGCAGACACGGTCGACGTCTTCTGCGCTCCTCATAGCACGCGCTGCACGCACATGTCTGCTGAAGCAGAGGCGGTCGACATCTTCTATGCTCCTCTCAGCTGGGATGCCCTTGCCACAGACGAGGCCGTTCCTTCTTGGCACTTGTTTTGAAATGCTTTACCTTCGCTTAAGCAGCCCCTCAAACCTTGCCCTGGCAGGAGCATTCTTGCTGCAGCTCTTCTGAGACAGCGGATTCCGAGGGCACTGATGCTGCTGGACTTCAAGAGCAGGTCGAGGCAGCCGCACATGCTACAGACGATGGTCGAGCCTGTCAGGTTCCTTTGTCGCCGACGACGACTCTGCGCTACAGCTTTCTGCACGACCCGGAGGCTTTGAGTCCTGCACAGGCGCTGGACTCTCCGCGCGCCGTGCGTCTGAAGCTCTACAAGCAGTCCCTGGGGTCTTCGACAGCTGACTGCTCAGAGTCAGCGGATGACTCCTCCGAGCACGGTCTTGATGTTTCCTCCTGCTGCTCTGTTCCTTCTCCCGCTTCTGAGTTGCTACGTGACTGCCAAGACGCCTGTCCAATGCAATCGGATGACATGGAGGTTAGCTTTGCCAGCAGTTCCTTGCCACCTCCCGCAGCCGCCTATGATTTTCATGGGCTCTCCCGCAAACGGGTTCTTCACGACAAGGGCTGCACGAAGAGACAGCGTCCGGCCAAATATGGCCGCTGCACTGTCTGCAAGGACCTCATTCCGGTTTTGGGTTCTTCAAGCTTAAGGCAGTTTTCCCAGCGACAAGAGCTTATCATATCCTTAAGCCTTCGCTTAAGCCCCGAAACCTCTTGTAACAGATGAAGCTCTCGAGATTTTCAATACCAGGAGGTCCTGCGCCCCGTTGCACATCGCAGCGGACAGCACAGAGGTGAAGTGATTTTGAGGTGCAAGAATTGGTGGGAATTCGGCGCTTCGGATCGCAGGCTCTGCTGGCAGTGGCGCCCCTACAACGGCGAGTTGTCTTCATTGCCGAAGCAGTGCAGACAGGATCTATTCGAGATTCGTGGAAGCATCGACGTCGCCTTGAAGCGTGCAGCACGCGCTGCACCCTAGTGCTCTGCTTTGTGCTCCTGTGCGTGCTGGCTGCACTGGCTTCAGGGCTTGCTTTCTTGTGCTAAGGATTTAAGACCATAACGAGAAGCGAGCCTTTCACCTCTGAAAAGCCTCCCAGCATGAGAAACCTCTGATAGGTCTTTCAGAAACGTCTCCGATGTGTGTGACAAGTCTCTGAGAAACCTCTGATAGGTGTTTGAGAAACGTCTGAGAAGTCTGTGACAAGCCCATGAGAAACCTGTGAGAAGTCTTTGAGAAACCTCTGAGAAACCTTTGACAAGCCTCTGAGAAACCTTTGACAAGCCTCTGAGAAACCTATGAGAAGTCTATGAGAAGTCTGTGAGAAGTCTCTGAGAAGTCTCTGAGAAGTCTGTGGGAAACCTGTCAAACGTCTTTGAGAAACCTTTGACAAGTCTCTGAGAAACCTTTGACAAGCCTCTGAGAAACCTATGAAAAGTCTATGAGAAGTCTGTGAGAAGTCTGTGAGAAGTCTGTGAGAAGTCTCTGAGAAGTCTCTGAGAAGTCTTTGAGAAGTCTGTGGGAAACCTGTCAAACGTCTTTGAGAAACCTTTGACAAGTCTCTGAGAAACCTTTGACAAGCCTCTGAGAAACCTATGAAAAGTCTATGAGAAGTCTGTGAGAAGTCTGTGAGAAGTCTGTGAGAAGTCTCTGAGAAGTCTCTGAGAAGTCTTTGAGAAGTCTGTGGGAAACCTGTCAAACGTCTTTGAGAAACCTTTGACAAGTCTCTGAGAAACCTTTGACAAGCCTCTGAGAAACCTATGAAAAGTCTGTGAGAAGTCTGTGAGAAGTCTCTGAGAAGTCTCTGAGAAGTCTGTGGGAAACCTGTCAAACGTCTTTGAGAAACCTCTGAGAAGTCTGTGAGAAACCTTTGAGAAGTCTTTGAGAAACCTATGGGAAATCTGTGACAAGTCTCTGAGAAACCTTTGACAAGCCTCTGAGAAACCTATGAGAAGTCTATGAGAAGTCTGTGAGAAGTCTCTGAGAAGTCTGTGGGAAACCTGTCAAACGTCTTTGAGAAACCTCTGAGAAGTCTGTGAGAAACCTCTGAGAAGTCTTTGAGAAACCTATGGGAAATCTGTGACAAGTCTCTGAGAAGTATGTGGGAAACCTTTGAGAAGTCTTTGAGAAACCTGTGTCAAGTCTGTGAAACGCCTTTGACAAGCTGTGACAAACCTCAACCCTAAAGCTGTAAAACCCTAAACCCAAACAGCTACCGCTCAGGTTCTCCTCGCGGGTGTTGGTGAACCCGCACACTTGCGACTGGCTTCGACGGGGCTAGGCTTTTGGGCTTTTCTTCGGGGCTACTGTAAAACTTCGGCCGCTGCAAAAGACAGCTTTTCGAAACAGTGCCCTGCAAAATCGAAAAGGGTTCTGAGACATGTGTCTTTCTTGTTTTGAAAGCCTCCGCTGTGCAGTCTGGAACGTTCAGCGCGGCAGGGAAGTTGCAGCAACTTGCAGCTCGGTTCCGGCTCAGGCGTTACGCACCAGCATGGTGTGTAGTTGGTGTGGAAGCACCAAGCACAACAAGCGCACCTGTCCCTTTCCGAGCGCCAAGCGGACTGCCCAGTTGGAACAAGAGCTACGAGCACTGAAGAAGCAGACGGGGCTGCAACCGCAGAAGGGCAGAAGACCGCTGCGGTTTGGCAAAAAGAGCTGGGGCCTTCGCAAGCGTAAGGCGCAGACTGACTACTCTGGACCCAAGAAGCGCGCACAGACGCGGCAGCGCGACCGGGGCGCGCGAAGACACTTTCTGTGCCAGCAAACGCAGACCTCCAGCTTCAGGCCGTGGAGCAACTTCAAGAGCTCGGCTTTTTGCCACCGAAGCCGACCAAGTGTCCGGCTTGTGGCGCTAGAACTCTGCAGAAAGCATCGGTAGTCAGGGAGACTCAGGTGCCTTGTCTCCCGTTCAGGTCAATTTCGTTTCGTGTGGACAACCCCTAAAGAATCAACCCTAAGCCTTAAAACCAAGCTATGCCCTCAACGTTAAAGCTTATGCAAACATCCTCGCACAGACTTGCTGCAGGTGTGCTTTCGTTGCAGTGCTTGGGGTCGCAGTGCCCGCGTCAGGGTCGTGGCATGACTCCCGTCATGCTGCTGGCTTTGCTACGTGCTTGGACGGCTTCAGGCCTTTGTCAAACACCCTCGGCCTACGTGCTTGCACGACAGATCGGGAGCACGTACAAACCAGTCTCGAAAGTCCTGAAGCAGCTTCTCGACTTGGAAGCCACTGCGGGTAAAGACTACAGCGAGTCCCTGAAGCTGCGTGGCTACGTGGAAGTGGATGCCACGAGCGTTCGGTGCATCCGCGTCTACCACTGCAGCGTTCGCTTCCAGTCCCTGATCCAAGAATGGATCGCCAGGCATCCGAATCAACGGTTTCTGCGCCTGAACCAGTAGTATGCTCAGTTTTAAGTTTAGGATTTTGCTCATGATGTCTATTGTTTTTTTCATCAAACACTATGCAAAGCCACCCGAACAAACTTCAGGAAACCGCCCTGGTGGTTGCTTTACTTTCGGATCCTGGGAGCTGCTCAACGAGGCCTTCACGAAACCTAAACCTTAAGCCTCCATAAGCCCACCCAAGCAGACCTTTTCTTTGTTTATCAGGTGACGCAAGCAAGATGGTGATCTGCCCTGCTCCCTTGAAGCTTGTGCCTGCGGGCGGTAAACCGCCTCCTGAAGCAACAGATGAGATACTGCAAAGTGGGATTCTCACGTCCGTTGCTCGCAATAGCACTTTGTTCGCAGATGGATGCAAAAGCTGGTCCGCGGCGGCGCGAGGCGTGTCGCACGGCGGACGCGTCTTGCATGTGTCCCACTCGAAAAACCAGTTTGTGCAGCGGTCCGAGGACTGCAACAGGATCCTCGGAACGCAGCTCTTGGACAGGAACTGGGGACACCTGAAAACAGCGGTGCCAGCCCAAGCAAAGAGCCGAAAGCTCGATGACGAGGGCTCGCATCCGCAAGTTTACAGCTACGTGTGGCAAGCTCTGTGGCGAAAAGCCACAGGACATGCAAACCTCTTGTGCGAGTTAGGACAACTGGCGAGGGCGGCCTGAGCAAAAGCGCCATTCGAGCTTTGGGCATTGGCCTCCAGCATCAACCCAGTCCTAAACCCTAAATCAAACCTAAATCACGTCAATATTCTAAACTCAGCTAAACTTCCTCCAGAACTCTCTCTCAGATAAAGTTTTGCTCCGCAGCCTCTTCAAAAATAGGCTTAAAACCCGAGCGAAAACGCAGTTCAGGCCAAAGTTTACCCCAGCCTCTAGTGTTTCGCGCACCTGCCTTAAGCAGAATTCTTCTTCAAATTGCGCTCTCGCTGTGGTTTCGCGCGTATCCATGCAAAACTCCTCATACTGGAATGTGTAAAAACGCATAGGCGCGTACAGGCGCTGTAACCATGTTTTTGAAGCCTTTCCTAAGAAGAAGCTGACAGTTTGAGGAGTGGGCTTGGAAGGCCAGATCTACATACCCCTCGGGCAAGGGACAGTTTTTGTGCAAAGCGGAGAAACTGATAAGTTGGGGCAGGGCTCAGGGGTTTGGAAGGTCAGGTTTGCATATCCCATTGTCGACATGGGTGGTTTTATGTGCTGGCAGCTGTTCATGTTCCCGTGCTCGCTCCTTTCTGCAGCTTCTCAGCTTCAGGACCAACCTGACATTATCATCATTTGCGCTCATGGCTCACCGTGCCAGGGCCAGTCGCAGGAAGTCAGGGTCCGAGTGTGAAAGCAGGACCCGCTCCACGCCAAGACCTTACCGAAAAGCTTGGGGCGCGCTCTTACTGGGCCTGCTTCTCGCGGCCTGGATGGCTAGGGCAGCATTTCAGGATCCCGCACCGGCATCTGGGCAGAGTCAAACCATCATGAAAAGCAGAAAAAGCTCGTTTTCAGGGCGCATTCGGTCCTCACTAGTCTGCATTCAACATCTGAGGTACAGCAAATCCTCTTGGATGGCAATTCTGAAGACGATGCGTGGGCTGCAGACATAGGTGCGTCAAGCTTAGTTTGCCATTTTGCTAGAACCTCAACCTTTCTGCCCGATCCAAGAAAGAGACTGAGATAGGAAGACCCGGCGCCGTGCAGTGCAAGCACCCAGAGTTCAATAGAGTTCAACAGATACGTCCCTAAAGTCCACAGTGGTAGCAGGAGGCTAGTGGTTCTTCGACCACTCCACTGTTTGTTCACTGTATTGGTCATGCTTTCCTCCCTTTTGCAGAGGCCTGGAGATGCTCATGGCATCGACTTCTTTGCAAGAGGCTCGGTGGCGATTCCTCACTGGGTGCTACGGTTCTGTGCGCTGCACAGCTCCCGCCTTTAGCCTGCGTGGCAGCAAGCACCCCCTCCGGCCTGCAGCTCCGTCCTGGGTTGCCCCGATTGCCTATAAGACGGCCGAGTCGATTGCCCAAACGGCATCCTCCTTGATGGCATTGGCTGCCTTCTCAGCTGCCCCAGCTGCGGTTCCGGTTCTTAAATACATCACTTCATTGCGGCGCAGAAACGATTCTTGCGGGCTCAGGCTGCTTTTGCCACATGTGCCGCCCTAGGGTTTGAAGCTGGGCACGCTGCCGCAAAAGCTTCACAGCGCCATGGCTGGTGAAAGGGCTTGTGTCGGTGACCTGTTTCAGAAACCTGCAGCTTTGAGATGCTGCGTTGCTAAGGACTGTCGCAAGCAGCGCTGGTGCGGACGCAAGCTTTTCTCGGCAGGAAACATTTGCCGACAATCCGCCGGTGCACCTTGAGTCACTTAGCATGCATAATCGAAAGAAGGCTGCTTGATCACTCTTCGAGCATGTTGCAGTTGCTTCGTATGTGGCAGCACATGCGGAGAGCGTCGACTTTCACACGAAAAGGTCTCTTGGCGAAGCTCTGGGCCGTGGAACTTTTGGGGAGGTCTTTGCTTCTTGCCTTAACGGCAAGGTGGTTGTCGGCAGCTGAGTTTTTTTACCAAATGCATGTCCGAGCTCTTCACCTTTAGAAAATACTTCAACAAACTGCCTGCGCTAGCACGCACTCGCTCTTTGGCCTGGTCGAAACTCAGCGACAGCTCTGGGTGGAATACAGGCACGCAGCAAGTTTGGAGCCAGGAACTCAGGGGCCCCCTTGTGCAAGGTCTTAAAAGGTAGGTGCAAGATGTGAGACGATTGTTTGGCTTTCTTAGGCACCCTGTGCTCACCGCTGGGTCTCCCTGAGAAGTGGCCCCGGCACTGCTCGGGGCTCAGGGAACTGTGGCAATGGAAAGCTTTTGAGTAGCCCCTTTGAACAGGCGGTGCCGAACCTAGAAGAGCTCCCTGCTTACTAGCCTCAAGGTCTCTCAGCTCATGGGGCTTGTATGGTACTCACCTTGTATCACCCTAGACCCTGAACCCCAAACATTAAACCTAAAGTCCTCCTTACACCCTTACATGCTAAACCCGTATAAGGCCTTAAATCTAAAATCCTAAGCCATACGCCCTGTACCACCCAACAGTTGATCCTCAACCCCAAGGCAGGACCCTAAATCCTAGACCTGAGCCCTCAGAAACAAAAACCCGAATCCCACGACCCAAACTTCCTACAGCTCCCTTAAACCCTTACAGTGTTCAACCAGGTCTGGGAATTCGTGGAAAGACACTCAATAACGAGCTGATCAATCGATCCCAGATCGACTACGCAGCCGTTGCGCGAGACCTCCACAACCTGTGGGGCCCCCCAGGGTTCAGGGTTTTGGGTTTAAGCCTTTAAGCTTTCAGGGTGCATAGTCCCATGTGGCTGCAGGCTGCGGCTTGAGGGTATGGATTCAAAAGCAGCTTCCATGCTTCCATGCGTCCAGGGGGAGTTACTTGCCTAGTTGGTGAGCAATGAATTCACCTTCTATAGATGTCCTGTAAGGGTTCTTTCAGGGTTCTGAACAAGAAACTCCGGGGCCCTTGGAGAAGTTTTCTGGGCAAACAGGGTTTCGGATTTTGGGTTTAGCGTTCGGTGAAGTCTTATGGTCTTATGGCATGCCGGTTCGATATCAGACAGGGGTTCTTTCGATACAAAATCAAGTCGGAGTATCCGAAGGTGTGTACCGGGGTTCGTGGCGATTGCACTCGGTGATTACGCTTTGGACAGAAGAAGCAAAGGGGAACACGTGGACCTGAGCTCTAAGCTGTGAGGTACGTCCGCCATGGCGTAATCCCGCCGCCGCTGGGCAGTGACATCAGACGGCAAGCTGAGGCATCCTTCCTGAGCTTCAAGAGACCGGTAAGATGGGGAGTCAGGATAATCACCGTAGTGTTGGGTCCGGCTCCGGAGTTAGAACCTGAGCTGGAATCTGCAGGCAGAAGTTCTGACCAGACGTATTTGGCGAGCAGCAATCCGACCTAGCAGCAGGTTGTCCTGGCGATGTCAAAGCTACCAGGCAAACCTCTGGATTTTTGGCCTGGCTCTTAGTCCTGTTGGAAGCCACGATACGTGGACCGAGAGCCTTGGTTCAAAGCTTTGGGGAGGGCGCCTTACCCAGCAATCCTGGCGAGAGAGTGGCAGTTTATGCAAATTCTGTTACCCGGGCGCAGCCAGTGTCTCTGCCATGCAGGCGTCATTGGTCGCTGAATATCGCGACCACCACTATGATGGTGCCGATTGACAACTGCAGCGACGATGTTTAATTGACACTGCTGTTGTTGTTGATGATGGTGCTTGCGAATGTGTCCTCATGAAAACGTTGGCAGTCGTAGTGATAATGGCCCTGGTTTTGAAATGGTTTCATTAACATTGATGCACATCTTGAGGGCGCTGATGATGACGATGATGCTGTCCTTTTCCATGAGATGGTGATGGCATTGAAGGTGGCGCTAGCAAAGCTGGTATTGAGGCTTATGACGATGATGATGGAGGTATTTGGTACTGGTGATGTCTTCTTGACCGCCACCATCATCAGGTCATTATAAGGGGTGTTAAGGCCCCCTCCCCCTTACCCCCCATAAAGATCCCTATGAACCCTGCCTGTCAGGATGTACGGGCTTTCCCGTGAAGCAATGGAAGTCGACCAGCCGGAGCCTTCATGGGCTTCGCGATTGGGGCTCCGCGGTTTAGAGCTTCGATCTTTGGGACTGCGCACCGGTAGATAAGGCTATCAGCTGTGCATATACACATGTGCGCAACCACATACATGCGTACGAATATGTATAAATGTATACATGTATGTGTCTATGTCTATCTGGTCTGAATAGGTATATGTGTATATGTGTAACTACTAGGTTCGTGGCGCATTCCCGCGCGTGGTACAAAAGGCATGTTCTCAACGACGGACGTGCCGAAAACATCGGCAGGGGTGGGTTTTGAGTATGTCGGGCAAGGCATGCCTATTTTAGGGGGGAGGCTGTTTGACTACTTGCTCGCATTGAAAAGGGTCATGGACGTGCAGAAAGCATCGGCAGGGGTGGGTTTTCAGCATCTCGGGCAACGCATGCCTATTTTAGGGGAGACGCTATTTGACTACTTGCTCGCATGGAACTGGGTGATGGACGTGCAGAATACATCGGCAAGGGTGGGTTTTCAGCAGATCGGGCAATTTTTCCTACATTGGGGGGCAGGCTGTTTGAGTACTTGCTCGCGAGTAGTTGTTACGGAAAGTGGCCTTTTCGTCGTCTGGCATGCAAGCCATTGCGTCACCATGCCGGCTTTGACTCCGAATGCGCGGGACGGAGAACGACTCGAGGTGCGGAGTCTTGGGCGTCAATGCATCGGGTTTGGATGGAGACAGTCGAGCTGGGGCGTTTTGGGCTTGCAGAAGTCCAAAAGCACGGAATCACCCCCCCCCACCCCACCCCACCCCACCCCGAAAAAGTCCCAGAAGTGGCGGAAACTACACGAGCGTGTACGCGCCACACTCCAACTACATGTACTGTACGTATGTATGTATGTATGTATGTATGTATGTATGCATGTATGTATGCATGTATGCATGTATGTATGTGTGTATGTGTGTATGTGTGTATGTGTGTATGTGTGTATGTATGTATGTATGTATGTATGTATGTGTATTGTATAACTACCCATGAACCTCCAAGTAAGCTCTGAACCCTCAACCCCCA